ACTTCCCCATTTTTCTTGGCTCCATTCTGTTGGAATATTGCTAGCTTAACCAAATTTATCAGATGATCAAGCTAAACAGGGACTCAACATGAATTCGACATGTACATAAAAAGTAGATGGTTTTGGAGCTACCAGACTTACCTGTGGAAGGTCCTTCCTCATCATTTCATCTTCAAAAAGGAAGGAGTGGTTCAGAATTTCAGATAATTAATGAGGAAACCTACCAGAGGGAACTTTCAGAGAGCCAAACCCAAGTTCCTTATGATGGATAGATCAACTGTTACTGTCTCAAGAACAAACGGCCTCCGTGCTTTGACAGCCACCAGGTCTCCATTTTCTTTCACCCGACCCTTATATACCTGCCCAAGAGATGCTGCCACAGGAATTCCGTAGAAAAAATATTTTGAAGTTGAGAAGCTTCAGACACTAGCAAACAGAGGCTAAATTTTATGTTTCATAGAACTTAGAAATTGAGACTACCAGCAGCTACTGGGGACGAAGAAACTTCAGAATAGATATTCTGCCATGGCTGACCAAGCTCCTCATCTATGAGAGCCATTGCCACATCTTCTGGGAAGGAAGGAACCTTCATGTATATCATCAGACAGAAAAATCAGAAATAAAAAGGATTGGCCTAACTTCTATTGGATGCTGAGGAAGTTAATTGATGTTCATCTGGAAAATTAATCACGGTGAGTCCTTTTGAGATCTCCAATACATTCCAAGTATAAGCCTAGCATACAAACATTTCAGAACGATTTCATATTTGGAAAATTGAGTTCATAACTTCACAGGCATGTGCAGCAAGGTGGCGATCCATTTCTGAATTTATACCATGAAAGGAAAAGAAGACCAGAAGGTGCATGAAGGACAGGTAGCAATCTATAGAACAAATTTATAGATAGGGGAAAAAACAATGACATAAAAGAGACGAGGTGAGGAAAATGAAGAGAAGTTAATGGCATTGTCTGCATCATGTTATTGATTGCAGCTACTTAGCAGCAGCAGCACAAGACAACACCAGAGCTTGGCATCCATAACCAATAGTTAATTGTTCAAATTAATGCTATATAGAAGTGAAGAGCAGCGGTGACTTGCATGTTTCCCCGCGGTTGAAGAAGCATATTGGAATGAAATTTAATGGCATCACTACCAGAAAATTAAAAAACATTATCTGAATGTTTTAATTGCCTAATATCTAATTATTAAAATGAATAACAAAGAAAGAAATACTTTATGACGTACCCTTGCATTTTCTTTTAATTCATTCTTTCTGAATAGATCTTCTTCTTCTTTTGTCATGTTTAAATGTTAACTATGTATTTGGATGTGACATTATTAAATACTTTTTATTCACAAAATAATATTTTATGTTCACACAAGACATATTTAGTTTAGAGAAATAATAAAAAAATAGATAAATAATGTCAATTAATTGATATGTTGTTTATTCTTTTTAAATACAAATAAACATGGAACAATAAAAGGAGTTGCTTCCCCCAAGTTCTCCGGAGATAGTGGTTTACAATGAAACCCTCACAAAACTAGCAAAATTTAAATTTTAGAGCCAAAACTAGAAGAATTTAAGTTATAACCCCCATAAAAAAAGATTTCTAGTTTTAGCCCCCTAATACTAACCCACAATTTCTGAATATATCTTCTTCTTCTTCTTTTGTCATGTTTCAATGTTAACTATGTATTTGGACGTGACATTATTAAATACTTTTCATTCATAAAATAATATTTTATGTTCACACAAGACATATTTAGTTTAGAGAAATAACAAAAAATAGATAAATAATGTCAATTAACTGATATGTTGTTTATTCTTTTTAAATATAAATAAACATGGAACAATAAAAGGACTTGCTTCCTCCAAGTTCTCCGGAGATAGTGGTTTACAATGAAACCCTCATAAAACTAGCAAAATTTAAATTTTAAACCCTCATAAAAAAGATTTCTAGTTTTAGCCCCCTAAAAATAACTCCTGACTCCGCCCCTTGTTATTGAGTTCATCATTTAATATGTTTAGTGGACAGATGGGCTAAATTAACATATTTAGAGAATTTAAAGAGCATTAAACAAAAAAAAAAACAAAACGGGGACCTTCTAGTAGGATTTCTTTTTCAACAATATCAAATTTGACTTTCATGATAAGGAAAATAGGTTTAAGGAACCTAATTGGCTATCTATGGGATTCCTGGGGTCGAAATTAACTATCTGGTGCCCTATATCACCGGACGTATGTTTTGGACATGTGCACTCCATTTCTTTTAATTTTTTTAATTAATATAAATATTTATACATGTATTTTCATTAATTTTATAATTATTAAAATTAACAACCATACAAACCTTTAATAAATCTAAAATTTATAAAACTTAAACACTAACTAGGTAAAGAATTATCTAACAAAAAAAATGAAAAAGTAATATAAAAAGTAATTAAAATCTGCAATTAACTAGAAAAATTATTAAAATTTAAAAATATTTATGAATCTAATTTAAAAATCTTTTTAATCTTGGTTGGTTATAGCAAATCAAACTTTTATAAAATTAGATCTATAGAATTTCCTAACAGAATTTAAACCTGATGCAATAATTTAATAAAAAATTATAGCTAGTTTTATGCAACTATGTATTTAGTATTTCAAATTTAAGTTATGAATTTTATCTTATTTATCTTGGTATTGCAATGCTGGTACGTATATGTTGCATGGTACGTATATACCATCTTCAATTTTTCATTGAATTCCGGCACAGAACTGCAGGGGAAAAAACCCTTCTGTCCTGTGATTTAAAATCCCAACAATCGAAAAGGGTGGTAGCACGTTGGCATGTCATAACGTGCCAAGTGGCGAAAATCCATACGTGGCGAGATAACAACTAATCAAGCACGCAGTGCAAATCCAACTCGCAATGAACCAAGACACACTCCACGTCCATGTTCACCAATCTTGTTGAATTCTCTCATTTTATAGGAGTGATCCCCGCCGGCTCTCACCTTGACCTCTCCGGTCTCCGTAGAAGAAAAGGCAGTGGAAGACACTTTAGCACTGAGAAATCTCTTGCTTCCATTCTGAATAAAAGCCCAGTTGTTTATTTCTAAAGAAAGATACTCTTAAAAGTTCAAGGAGAGATAACATTAAGAATGAGTAGTCAAAGAAAAGGATCAGAAGCAGCTCCATATCATGTCCTTCATAAACTTCCTCCTGGTGATAGTCCTTATGTTAGAGCCAAGCATGTTCAGGTATATGGATAACGTTGATTTAGAGTGATTGATGCGCGCTATTTTCTTCCACTTCTTGATATCAATTTATGTTTTTTAGGCTTTTCGCTTTTCTTTTGGAGAGTTGGGTTTTTTTTTTTCCCCATTGCAAATAGTCATTTTCCTGGAAAGTTTTAGGTTTTGATCAAGGGTGTGATGTTGCACCCTTTTATCATATTAAAAATAAATAAATAAAGCAAGAGTGAAATTTTGATCATTTAATGGGGTCTCATTACACTGAATCAGTACTGGTGGAGTGATCTGGACCTTGATCATGGTATGAAGATACAATATCTGGTTTCTATGTTTGGATCCAAAAATAAAGTGAAAGAAGATAGGGTTTTTCTATTTTTGGATTTATGTTTGTTTCTTAATTTGGAAGTATATCAGTAATTTTTATTATTGTTGTTGTCAGTATTTTAAAGGCGGTGTAATCATTGGATAATAAAATATTGATAAAATTAAATAGATAATAATCCTTGGATAATCTTGAAAACCATTAATTTTTATTTTTTTATAATGTTATTTGAACTAATGTAAACTAACTTAATCTGGATCTAAATACCTTCCAGTCCAGGAATTAATCTATTTCTGAATTTTTTTTCTGCTGGGTTTATGTTGCTAGTTGCTAAATTAAGAAACTTAATGTGTTTGCCATTAGTATAAGGTCTAAATAAAGAAACTTTATGTGTTTGCAATTAGTACAAGGTCTTCAAGTAATATTTCTTATAAAGGTAATTTTGTAGCTGTGAGGGCCTTCTAGATGCGTTTCAAGCTATTAAATTTTCTTCCTTTTGTGTTCCCTTGGAGTCTCCGTTGATTGTTTCATTTGTCAGTTCGACTTTAAGGTGCTCTGTCTTGTCGTCTTAAAACTTGTGTCGTGTCTTCTCTATGTATGCGCAGCTAGTTCAGAAGGATCCTGGAGCAGCAATAGCTTTGTTTTGGAAGGCGATAAATGCTGGAGATAGAGTGGATAGTGCTCTCAAAGACATGGCAGTGGTTATGAAACAGCAAGACAGGGCAGAGGAGGCAATTGAAGCTGTAAAGGCTTTTAGAGATCGCTGTTCAAAGCAAGCCCAGGAATCTCTAGATAATGTCCTCATTGACTTGTACAAGGTAGCTATATAGCTCGACAATTTGATTAGAATATTCAGATTCTTTTTGAAGAAGTTTTATGAGAAGAGATTGCCTGCTTGCGTCATTTATCCTGTCCTGTGACAATGTTTTGATGATAAAATGATATCTATGATATATTTCGCAGAAATGTGGAAAAGTTGAGGAGCAGATAGAGCTATTGAAACAGAAGCTTCGGATGATTCACCAAGGAGAGGCCTTCAATGGGAAGGCGACCAAGACTGCACGCTCTCATGGAAGAAAGTTCCAGGTTACTGTCAAACAAGAGACTTCTCGGATACTGGTATCATATTTCTCTAATCCTCTCTGCTGTTTCTGATATTGTGCTGTCAAGTTTCTGTGTGGACTGAATTTTATGTTTTCTCTGTTGTGTCGGGGTAGAGTTGTCATCGAAGTCAGCTGATTTTACAAACATTTGATGCAGGGTAACTTGGGTTGGGCATACATGCAGAAAGGAAACTATTTGGCAGCGGAAGTTGTCTACCGCAAAGCTCAGTCTATTGACCCAGATGCCAACAAGGCCTGCAACTTGGGCTTATGCTTAATCAAGCAAACACGATATGCTGAGGCACAAGCAGTCCTCGATGACATATTCCGGGGTAAGCTTTTAGGATCTGATGAACCAAAATCAATAAACCGTGCCCAGGAGCTGCTCTGTGAACTAGAGACGCATCAATCCTCTTCGATGTTCTCGGAACCATCAGGATCAAGCTTAGAGGATGTTTTTGTGGAGGGCCTTGATCAGTTGACGAGTCAGTGGACTCCATACAGATCGAGGAGACTGCCCATATTTGAAGAGATCTCATCATTTAGAAATCAGTTAGCTTGTTGATTACGTGTTTTTAGTAGTCTTCAATTTTTTGACCGTGAGTTCGTGTATAATTGTTGTGAGATAGATATAAATTGGGAATGTATGGGAGTTAATGTAACAAAATGAACACTTGATTGTGTTCCATATTACCACAGTACAATGTGTATATTTCTTGTGTTCTATCAAAACCAAACGCCGACATCAGTTACTTTCTCGGTGTTGTATCGAGTCTTCCGCGGATACTTCCACAAGGTCCAAGAGTCAACTCCTCGCTGTGGATTCGGAAGTCACTGTAATTTTTGGTCTATAACAAGACCATATCAACTTCACGTATCCATGCTGTTCTATTCTAGGCTCTTTGCTTTCTAAATTCTAATACAGATGGTCATGAGTAGTTTTAAAATCAATGGATAGAGTTAAGGGGAAACAATGAAGATACAAAAATAATATTGCAAAGGACGATCTAAATTGCTGGGATTCAATATTCATCACACATTAAACAAATTTTAATACCATGTAGGAGAAGAAAATTATCTACTCGGGAGTTCATATAACCTATACAACCAAATTCAAAACACAAAACCTCTCGCATCCTAAACAAAGCTAACAGAAGGCGAATGGAGTAAGACATAAATGGTCATGCAGAGAGAGATCTCGTAGACAAATCGTCAGAATCAATTTAGCAAAGACAATCCAGTAATCTTGGCAGCAAAAGAAGCATCCAGTGGAACCCAGGAGAAATTAACAATTGAATCCATGGCACACAGATAACACTATGATGAGAATCAAGGCAATGATAATACCCAAAACAATCAATTTCATCTTCATATTCTGAATCCACATCTTTCTTCTCATCTTAGTTCCCTGTTTTCGGAAATCTTGTGCCTGTAACACCACATAAATTTGAATATACCATGCCCTAATAACAAGACAAGACAGAAGAGAGGAGAGATGGAAAGAAACAGATATGAATCCAACCAGAACAATTCCCATCTAATTGCTAGACTTCCCTTGATTTATGCACTCTTCAAAGCCATAGAAGTCAAGTCAAATACGTTCCAATGTTATTCAATGGCAGTTTGAAGGAAGGCAACCCCCTAATCCAAACCCAAGAGTAGAAGTGTGACAGTAAGCAATAAATCTATATGCAATTTATGCTGGACTAACCTGCGAGTGAAGGTTCTCAGTTTTATCCACCAGCAGCTCAATCTTCTCTCCACGATCAAGAACCTGCACAAAAAATAATTGCCTCAACAATTTGATTGCATGGTGTTTCTGAAAATAACACTCTTCATGATCAATATGCAAAATATCATTGCCTTTCAGCTATTATATCATTACTTTGTAACATGCATCCAATAGTATTTTGATCTCCAAATTACACTGGTAAGATAATCGCAAGAAAACCAATAACTGCTCTATACCTTCTCAATGTTTTCCATCATAACACCCTTAACTTCAGAAACCTGAGCCTTAACTTTTGCAAGCTTGCTGATCTCTTCAGGATGATCCACACAATACTGCATGTGCTCCTTCAACTTGGACCTAAAATACAGACCAATTAGCAGAGAAGTTTGAAAATAAATAAAAATGCGCTAGTGTAAGAGATTAGACATGTTTATATATACCCAAACTCTCTGTTCAGGCTATTGGCCACGGCCGTTGCTGCTTTTCCTCCACCATATCTTTTGTTAAAATCTTCCTTAACTCGCTCCAAAAAGGCAATTGGGATTTGTCTGCCAGCAGATTCAACTGCAACCACGCAGTAGGCTGTTGCATCCAACACAAAACACGAGAATTAACACAACACAGAAAATTGGTGATTATGAACAAACAACCAACGTAATCCATGCAATTAAATCAAAATGATATGTTTGCTTCAGATAAATCACATACGTTGGGAAGATTTGAAAATAAAGGAAAATAAATGGTGCAATGTGACCCATGACACCCTTCTTTTAAGTTATGACCCAAGAGTGGGGTTTTGGTTTCCGAATTATGGGATTGCAATTAACAGAAACAACCACTAGTGATTCTATGCACTTCAATGTACAAAAGACAACCGATCTGCCCCAAAAGGCCCTGTTTTGTATTCCATCAACTTATTCATTCAGAAAACTGTATCATTTATCTAAAAGCAGCAAATTGAAGAGTCAAAACAACCCAAAAAAATTTGCAGGTTACTAGGAAAAAAGAGACATACATTCAAAGAAGTTGGGATACTAATTAAAGTCTCCATCCCCTCATTAAAAAAAAAAAAAAAAAACCACAATCCATTTCCATTCAAAGATGATTAACAAATAAAAAAACTAGTCAGCCAGCATTGACACCTATTGAAGATTATCAAGGTGAGGGGTATTCAAAGCGTTAAACCATTAGGAATAAATGCCAAAAACAAAACCTCACAGAAGAAGAGAAAATGAGAATCTTTTGAAATCTAACCATAAACCATTCCATTTATTTTCAGAAAATAGTATCATCACATGATCCGAATCCATGGATTCTGATACCTAATCAGCCCACGTAAATCACCAGCAATAACAAATTGACTGCTAATAAAAACAGATAAAAAATGCATTCAAATGAATCGGTCAAACAAACGGATCAGTCAATAAAAGTCAACCAAAACAACGATCAGAGATCAAGCCTTAAAACCATAATAAAGAGAAAAAAACGCAAACGATCGAGATCGGAATCAAGAATAATATCGCAACAAGCCAAATCAAATTAAAAAAAGAAAAAATAAATCGAGAGACGTTAATGGAGAGGACCGTACTGAATCCATCTTCAACGAGGTAATTGAAGGTATGGCCATCGCAGTTATAAGTAAACTTGTTATTGGAAGCGGGAAGTTTTTGAAGACATTGTGCAGCGATGCCAGTGAAATTGCCTTTAAACTCCGTGTACTCCGCAAGAATCACAGTTCCTCTTGCCACGAAGCTATAGATCAATGATTGTTGCCCCATCTCCACCTCCTCTCCTTTACTTCCCGAAGAAAAAAAACCCTAGAGTATCAGATGATCAAATCAAACATTCAACAATAGATACGAAACTTGAGAGATGAGAGGATCGGAGAGAAAGAGGAGTTTATTTGCTGGATTTGTCTGTTTATTTATTTATTACAGAGTAGTATTTGTTTTTATCTATTTATTTTACCTATAAATAGTACAAACGTGGAACGGATGAGAGAGAGGAGCATAGGGAGTTGTACGTAGGAAAGGGCAGGGATGTATATTTAAACCTCATATAGATACCCACACCTTAATATTCATAAAACACTTATATAAGAATAATATTTATTAGTTTATTATTTGATATATATATATATATATTAATTATTTTATTTTTCATTGAATAATAAATAATAGTAGATAATGGATATTTATTGAACACTCCAAGCTCCATGAATTATTTATAATTATTAACATTTTTTACTTAATAAATAATAAATAAGATATGAATATAAAAAAATCAACTTGTAAATATTGATTATAATCCCTTGAAAAAAGAGGTAAATAATCATATAAATTTGTTGAATAATTGAGGTCTCCCACGGAATTTATATTTTGAATTTTGAGAGTTTTTCTAAAATAATGTTAAATCTAATCGAGTTTATAAATTGATTCCAACCATATCTCTAAAAGAAATTAGATGCTATTATTTTTTAATATAAAGGAAAAGTTGTTTTCAACCGTTATACTTAGTGGAAAGAATATGGTGGCACTGTCACGGGACATATTTTTAAAGGTAGATTTTATTCTTTTTTAATTTAGTGTATGTTTAAAACATTTATTGTTTGAAAATATATTAAAATAATATTTTTTTTATTTTTAATATTAACATATTAAAAATATTAATTTATTTTATTTTTTAAATTAAATATATTTTTAAAATGATTTTAAATATAATTTCAAATGTAAAAACAGATATTTTTTTAATAAAAAATATTTGATTGTTTCAGATTCTAGTACAGTAGAGAACCACTTGGAAAAAAGGGCTTTTGAAAAATTAATGAAATTTTATAATTTTGAGCTCTTAGAATATTTTATTTATATGGATTTGATCGCTTGTCAATTCACATGAATATGAAGGCCTAGCATCATTCAAACAATATAGGTACAACCACCCACGCCCGAATATTTGATGGCTGATCTCGAATTTGGAGTTTTAAAAAATTATTATTAAAAAATATATTACAATAATATTTTTTTTTTTAGCTTATATCAAAATAATACAAAATACTAAAAATATATGTGGATTAGATGCATTGGCTTTTTAGATCTAACAGCATCTAGCATTTTCTTTTCTTTCTTTTTTTCTTTAGATTTTTAATAATAGATGCCTTGTTTTTCAAAATTATTTTTTAATTTGTATTTAAATTAATGTTCTTTCTCTTTTTTATTTTGCTCATTTAACCTATTTTAAATAACAATAATTTTTTTATTTTATTTTCATTTAATTTTTCAAGTGATTGTTCCAATTCATTTACAGTTTTCAAATAATATTTTTAATATGTATCATCTTTCATGATATTTTTTTATTTTATTCAATCAATTTCATATTGTAATTTTATTTTTTTATTATTTAATTAAATAAAAATTTAATTTTGACAAATAAAATCACTAAACACAATCAGGTCAAAGGCTTATGTTACATAGTCAAATATATTGATTTTTTTTCTTGATTTTTTATTTTTATTTTTATTTATCGTTAATATTTTTTTTATTTATGCAGTTTTCATTTTATTTGATTAAATATATACATAAATTTTTCAATTTATATTTAAGATATTTTCATATATAAAAACACATAAAAAAAAACTTACATATATATTTTTTATAAAAAAATAAATGACCTACTTGGAAGCACAGGTCAAACAGTTAATAAAAAAACTCTAAATCATGTTGCTAAAGATGTACATGCTTATTTAATTGTCATAGAATTAAAGGCTTTAACAACTAAACTTGTAAGAATAAGTATGAACATGAAAAATATTCACACAAATCAAATTTTAAAGATCTTCTTAGTTTGAAAATAATAGTTTAATAGGAAGTGAATTGAGAGTGTGATATTGACTATATTATTGATAATAATTGTATCCTTAATAGTACATAGAGAGACAGGACAACAATAGAGAGTAAGGACACGTATACAAAATCAAGGTCGGAACTCATCACCCTCTCTTTTTAAAGCCCTTGGATGTTTTTTTAATTAAATTGTTGCTTATTTATTGTGAAATCAGTATATATGATGAAGAGAAGAATGAAACAAAAAGTTAAAAGTGCATTGTTGCAATTGGTAGTAAAAAAAAAAAAAAGAATTGAATTATTGTTCAAAAATAGATAGTTGAGAAGGTAATGGTTTGTTTTCATAAGAAACCCGGAAAAGAAGCAAGAAAGAAAAAGAGAAGAAATTAGGCAGTCATGAGCGGAAAACCAATCATTAGTGACTGGAATAATTAATTAGTTTACCACGAAATAAAAACTAAGCACATCTGTGAAGATTAGGAAAGGGTGTGCATGCACGGACAACATGTGATTTGATATTGAAAACAATGGCGGTGGATAAAATGCTGACATGTTTCCAGAAAGTGATCTAAAACGAAGCTACCAAGCATTGCTAAGTTTCTGATGCCAGCCATGTTCTTTTTTGCCTAATGAAATGCTTCTTGAAGAATTACATCGAGGAAGAAAAGGAGAGTAAAAGAACAGATGACTGGAAAGAAAAACCTCCCAGATGGTAATTATGATGAACACAGCTCTTCGGAGCATTCGTCACAGTGCCTCCAACCTCCCCTCTCCCCCTCAGTCTCGAACTGACATTATACTTCAAGGTTTCCACGATTTTCACTACTGATTGATATCCAAAGCAAGGACACAGTAATTGCAACCAGGCCTGACCAGACATATACAATTGTTGGCACTCTTCCTCTCCTTCCCAACAGACCTTTCACAAATGGATACATGTGAGACAGCACCCAGAAGCTGAAAAAGAGTCCTCCCATCAACTTACCCCATTCTGGTATCACACTGTATAATGTCCTCGAGCATCCAATTACTATGGCAACAATGTTGACTACTAGGATGGCGAGTGGCATTAAGAAGAGACTTGTCCATTTGACCTCGTAGAGATCAGCAAAAACATCGTCTTCATCTTCACCTGCTGACTTGGAGGTTAACGTGAAAGAAATCTCAATGCCAGCAGTGACTTTTAGAAGGCCTTGGATCACAGCAGCTAGGTGAGCGCTGGTGCCACCAATGAGCCAAAACTGCTCATTACGCCACAATTCCTCGAGCCCAATACCGGACCATTTTATTTCAAGAAGGGAGATGAGAGTTAGTGTTACAGTGATGGTTAAGAGGTAACAAAGGAAAGCTATATCAAGGCTTTGAACAATGAAGGTTCCTGTGAAAAGGGAAAGTGCAGGGAGGAAGCAGTAAGTGACTAAGAAGAAGGAGGTGAAGGGGTAAATGCCAACATTGAGGTATGCGATTCGCTGTAAGAACTTCAGTCGCCGGCTTCCTAGGAAGGCGTTGTTCTTAGAGAAAAATATTTCCACAGAACCAGTAGCCCATCGTAGCACCTGGTGAAGGCGGTCAGTGAGATTGATTGGTGCTGTGCCACGGAAGGCATCTCTCTTTGTTACACAGTACACAGACCGCCACCCACGGTTGTGCATCCGATAACCGGTCACCACATCTTCTGTGACTGAGCCATAGATCCAACCTATCTTGTCCCCCCATTCAGTCTTGTCCTCATACCTGTGGTCAACATCAAAACAACCTGTTCAGAATTTGATTGGTGTAACTAAAAAAATAAGGCCCTTCGCGTGCAAAGAATTCTATAGATATAGCAAGGTATTGATCTGACTAATTACCAGCAAGAGATGACAGCAATTGCCTCGGCAACCGTGGGTGCATGTAGAGGAGGACGTGGCAGTAGAAGTGCACCAGGAGGCCTGCCATTCTTTACCGATTTGTGATCAGCAAGTGGCCGTCCTTGGTATTCAGCAACAGCTATAGACTCATTGAACATGGCTGAATTACCAAACTTCCGTGGCAGGTTCAAGTCAGGGTGTGATGTGAGGGACTGAGTCTCAGACTCGTCTTCTAACTGAACCTTAAAACCTGGAGCCCTTTTTTTCGTACTGCCGAACATGCCCAAGTACTCGTTTGCCCTTGGTGGAAGGAACCCATAGAGTGCATGTCTACGAAACATGCACCCTGTTCCTACATACACAGGACCTTGAAGACCATCCAGTGCTCGCATACTTCCTGTTTGCAAGAAGGTTTATTTTTAGCTCGACAGATTTATTTTGATGGACAGAAATCCCCATTTAGACTGGGAAGAGTAGAGCCTAAAGTATGCTTAGCCATTTCAAATTCTTGAAGACTATATTGATAATAAAGATGTTACCAATTTTATTGCAGAATTTAAAGTGAAATCCAAAGCATTACCATCAAAGAAGACAGTGTTGTGATTTGCATATCGATCAGACGGGTCGATCCCTTCAAATCTTTGTGGAAACTGGATATAGCATATGCGGTCACCACCACGGTCCATCATAAAGCACATTCCCTCCTTTATAGCTTGACAATTATAGAAGTAATGATCACAATCCAAGTTGAGTATGAACGGTCCATTGGACAATATAGCTGAAGCTCTAACCAACGCATTCATGGCTCCAGCCTTCTTGTTGTGGTCAAAGCCAGGCCTCTTTTCACGTGATACATATGCAAACATTGGTATCCTAACGTCAACTCCAGTGAAATCTAATTTTTTCTCATCTGGATGACCCATCACTGGATCATTTGCTGGGACCTTACTCATTACCTGCATGGAAACAGATTCAAGTTTCGAAAGTTAATTTAGCAGAAGAGACATATTAGAACAGAAGCTGTCCAAGAAAATATTAAACAGGGTTACAGAAGCCATAAATATCAAGAATATAACTTTGATGTTATGTTCCTCTTTCAATCTGTAGAAAAAAATTGCTGACTGATGGAACAATACTTGTGAAACAACGAAAAACCTAATCCTGATGAATGGTTGTGAGCTTCTTTAAGCTCTTGACTTGAGTAATGAGAGACCATTCAATACTCTCCAAGCAATTACTTGCTCCTTTTCCATTAACACGGGTATATAAGTGGGTGTGACATGAGGGTTTGTGCCTATTTAGTCACTAATCATTTAGTAGTGTAATCACCTGCAAGATTCCAGCATGGTCCCCCTTTTTGTGATCATCTGTTGGATTCAGCCATGTGCCAGGCCAAGGGGTACCATCAGCTATCCATGTAGCTTCGGGGACATCGACCCCCTCTGGTGGCAAGGCACCACTATTCTTTTCTTTAGCCTTCTTCATCTCCTTAGAGTTTAATGATTTGCTTCTCCTTCGAATTGCTTCAGGCAGACCATTGATCCTGACCTTGAACTCATCATACTCTCTCTTCATCCAACGGCGGTCCTTGACAAAATCAGGCCGTTTCTTGTTCCTGGTGGGGTCAGTTTTTAGGTTGAAGTAACTATCCGGATTCCTCAGCTCAATGTCGTGTTTTCGGCAAAACGGCACCCAAACCTGTGCAAACAATCATAAAAAGAATGCCTAGTTATAGCATGTAAATCTGTATGTTTGTAAATTCAATCTCTAACAAAGACTAATGGAACCACAGCTTGTGTTTCACTGGATGTAAGGGTTAACATTTTCCGAATTAAACAATATTTTATCATTTTGGTGTTCAAAATTGTAACAGGACCTCAGCAAATCGAACAGCTTCAGCCATAGCCTCGAAGGTGAGTATGGCCCCACCATCATCAGAAATGTAGCAGGAGAGTTTCTCAACAGGGTAGTCAGCTGCAAGAATCGATAAGATTGTGTTGGATGTGACAAGGGGAGGTTCCTTCTCAGGATCGGCCGTGGAGACAAAAATATCAACTCCTGGGAGGTCTGACCGGCCATGAGGATTTGCAGGGGAGGGCTTCTCAAATTTGTCACGCAGAGCAGCAAGGTCAGTGGATCGGTTGATGGGGTTAAACTTAGGGAAAATGTCTAGTATCCATGAGATTGCAAACCAAATCTCACAAACAATAGACATCCCCCACAGCCACGTTGCATCAGGATTGGGGTTCTGAACTCTCCACTTTAGGAAGAAAAACAGAACTATCAAACGGATCAATATAAGTATCCTGTTCATACAAGGCTTATGTTAGCAGATTCAAAAGCTAAATTTTACAAGGATAAAAAGCCTAAATACCCTCGTTAATTTAGGTGGAACCTTTATATTCTAAGGTGTAGCATAAATAAACTCTAGGGTAAACTCAGCTTTCTGCAAAATTGTCAAGCAGTAAGCATAAGCTAGCTTTATTCTGTTTTCCAACGTTCAGTTTTTTTTCCCCCAGTTCTGCGAAGGCTAAAGGTATTCTATAGAACTTGAAGGGCATAATACCATCAGCAAACATTCAAGGAATGAAGTTCCATCTCCCATATACTATGCTCATGTTATGTTAAATGCATTTGTTACAAAATAAGACGTGCACCTGTAAGGGCTGAGAATAGCTGCAGGAACCTTAATCTTCCTAGTGAGTGGCTTCCAAGGCTTGTCCAAAAAATCGGACATACTCAGTTCCGTATCCTGACCATAATTGTCACCTTCTGACCAATATGCATTTCCAACACCGTAAGTTCCTTTTGTCTCAAACAACCACCTGTTGTGATCAAAATCTCCAGTTTGACTCCTCAACAACATTGATTTATTATTTGATTTCATTAGTGACATTCCTCGTTCCATTTTTACACCGCCATTGCTGCCACCATGGCTTCCGTAACCATCTTCTCGCCCTTCTACCTGCCTGGACCGATGCTGTGCCTCAGAACCAAGACGGCTCTTCGTCCCATCAGATTTATTCTCTGATGACGGGCGTGCAGGCTGGTTGTCAGGGGTAGGGGGCATGACAACAGTGTAATTGATATAGTCACTCTGTCCTGAATATTCACCTGACAAGTCCATATCGTCATCTTGTGAAAAGCTATCAATGCGTCCACTAGATGTCCGGCGTGCAAATTTCACAGCCTGTTGTGGACGAGCAGCACTTGATGCTTGTGATGACGAAGTCTTCCCTTTTGGTTTTGATGAGGTTGCCATGCGCATTAATATCTGTATATTGGTGTTTTCTTCAGAAAAACCATTGATTTTGTTGTGACATTGGTGTTTTCTTCAGAAAAACCACCAAAGCTGCAACATAGAAATGGTTTTACTTTGTCGTTTCTTGATTGATTTTCTTTTCTTACACGAAAATTATGAAACTGGAGAGGAAAGCCGCGTTGAGTTTGATGGGCCAATGTTGTCCACAATTTTTCTTTCTATTTTAAAGATGTGTTGCAAGACACTTTGCTCCCTTATTTTAAGCTTAACCTCTCTAAATACAGCTATCTCCTATAATGCAAGTAACGAGTCACAAAATAAAGTCTTATCTCCCTCTCTCTCTGGGTTACAAGGATCTGAGAACATAGAGGATTGAAGCAGAAGAGCACTCTCTTATGAAGGACAGGTTAGCTAGGAAATTGAAGGAATTGAAGTAGAGTTATATTGTATGATTTATGTTATTTGTTTAATACATCCAAAGTTATTTGGGCTTAAATAGATGTATGTATATTTACTTTTATCAAATAATATAAGTTGTTTTATCAAAATATATTATTTTTTGATATACCCAGAAGTATTTAGACTTAAAACTTGTATATTTAAAGCAAATATTCTCACCAAGACTAAAAAATATATATATATTCTTGTTTCTTGTTCTCTTCATATTTATCTCTTTTATAAAGCAAATATTGATAATTACTTTTGCAATACTCTAAATGATATGACTGACAAAAGTTAACAAAACAAATATTAATAATTAGTTTTTATTTTCTACAATTGTTTCTGTTTATGAATCTAGTGGTAATACATGTATCAACAGATTATGATTATAAATACCAACAGAAATTTTAGTTAAAAACTGTTGACTCTAGTAATAAAGAAACAGCTTCTTAAGCTTTTTTTTAAGCTTTACAGCATTCAGCAAGTGGCTTGTGGTAGGACGGGTTGCTTGTTCATATGCATCTGTCGTTGTTTTGTTGGTTGTTTGTTCATATGCATCTGTAGTCTGGTTGTTGGTTGACTTTGAATTTGCCAGAGTAAAATTCAATGCAACAATAACTGGTTTCTTCAGTCTGTAATTTACACCAGATAATTGGCCCATACTGGTATGGATCGTATCAATTTCTTCTTCTTTTTCTTCTTTTTTTTCTTACTAATTATCAACTTACAGTCTATAAATTAATGGGAAAAACTAAAGCTTGTTTTAGAATAGGGAAATAATTGCTTTTCAAATAACTTTTTATCTTAAAATATATATTAATAATTTTTTTAATTTTTAAAAATTATTTTTGACTACATTAAATACTAAAAACAATCAGGCTAAAAAGGATAAAAATGCGAGATAGAGACTTGAAAACAAAATCCCGCTCCAAATGAACAAACAATTTATTTTCACGTAAGATTTGAAATCATAGCGCCAAAACTAAGAAAACTAATAATGTATGCCATGAAACAAAAGGTATCGGACTTGAAGATTTTCTTTTGTTCAAAAGGAAAGCAAACGAGTAGAAATGCATTCAAAGCAAAATACAATTAGGGTTGTGGGTCAACGATCAATTCCTTTGTCTTTCATCTTTCGCTCTTCAAATCCGTAACCAAACCATCCCTGGGATTTTATTATTATCATCTGTTTCTTTTTTTTTTAACGGATGATTTATGCGTAATTAGTGCTAAAGATTGTGGCTTTTTTTTGTTTGATTTTCAGTAGCGCTAAAGATTCAAATCAAGACGAGCAAAGGGAAGATTCAAAGAAGAGCCCCCGCATTTCTTTTTCTGATTTCCTTGACAAGAAGTTACACAAAAGTTCTGTCCTACCCAAAACAGTTAAGGTAATTAGTTAATTCTTCAGTAGCTACTGTTTGGCTGCGTCCATTCAGTGAAAAACAAACCGCTAGCTCTTCATTTGGCTTAGGTTCATCTGGTGATTGTGATTTTGGAACCTCCACCACTTCATCTGTTATAGGTTCAAGTCATGTTGGTAAAGTAGGAACCTCTACTGTAAATGATGTGCCAGGATCCAGAAAGAGGAACCTATTCGGAGGTATGCCTTATCTTGTATAGCGAGTTCAAACTCTCTGTTTCATTTAATATTTTGCTTCAAGCCATTCGGAATTGTTACTCTTTCTGTTTGGTTGCCAGAAAAACATTTAATTTGATGTTGTGTTTTATGCTACTGTGATTTCCTGTGTAAAAGAAAAACACTTAGCTTGGGCTCAAGTATGTGCGTGATTTTAGGTGGCCTAATGCTTAATCCCTGCCTCAAAATGAGAAATTTTTGCATATTTCCTTTTCTCGTGAGGTGTTCCAGTGAAATCAGTAGCACTGTTAGGCATTTTTTTGTGTTAACGTCAGACAGTTGGTTGAGGAAATTAGGAAAACCTGATAAGCTAGAGTAATTGGGATTCTGGAAATCCTTATGAGATTTCTATTATACATAATGCGTAGAATAGATCATACGCAAGTCTTGAACATGATATGTAGTTTCCCAATCCATATGCATCTCTCTAGTTTATTTGATGTTGGTGTGGGTCTAGTTGTCAGGCCTATCTTTGCCATCAAACAGGATAAATAACTTGGTATATAACGTGGACAAAGCTAGGGTTTTTAAACTCAAAGATTACATATTTAAATTGTAGAGAAATTTAGAAAAAAATCTTTAGTGTTTTATTAAAATTTTAAATAATAATGGTTTTTTCTCAAAATAAACTAGATATTCTTATTTATATTAGTCATAAAATCTTTTTATAGAAAATGATTTCTAATTAAAACTAAAATCTTTTATAGAAAATAATTATTAATTAAAACTTATCTAATTAATAAAATTCATATAACATTAAGATTTCTAAATAGTACTAACATTAAGATTTCTAAAAAATTCAAATACAACAAGGTAAATAAAAATATTTTTGTATGGTATCTTCCAAGCTTTATTTGAACGCTTTTCTTATCATTAATCTTCGTGAAATTTTAACTTAAAAAAAAAACATAACCTTCAAAATCTTCTATTAAAATTTCAGCTCGATTTAATGGTTGGATTAAGAGTTATGCTTGATTTATCAAACTATATCTTAAACTTGTATTCCTTAAACCTTAAAAATCTTAATAATTAATGAAGTAATGCCATAAACATTAGTATGCCATGAAAATGAAAGAAATTTACCCATGTCAATAAAGAAGGGCAACTGCATTGTAGAATGTTCAAATTCTAAGGAATATTTGTTTGATTTTGAAAACATGACTCAGTTGATGCTATCCTAGTACATGAAGATTTCTGAGCAGAGTGGCAGAAAAAGAAATGAGCATGAAAAATCGAAAACCAAAGATACTGACATTCAGTAATCATCTGTTGAGTTCTTAACCCATTTTTGCAAAAATCAAATTTCACTGGCAAGTCCAACCATCACTTTCAAATACATTGAACCTTTTCACTCTTACGGCCTTTTACTTGTGGTTTATGAATTTTATATCGGGTTTGCAAGGTGGTGGCCAGAACCATACTGCACGAAAGCTTTCATTAGTTTTGGGAGTTCATCCAAGTCCCAATCAAAAAGCAAGAAAAGAAAGCTTCATTGGCAACAAAAAACAAAGGCCTCTCTACAATCATTGTGAGTATGCTTTCTACAAGAAAAATTAAAAGCTTTTCCCAGCAAGGACTCTTCGAAGTTTTTTTTTTTTTGAAATTATATGCTTTCTTTTGCACTAAGACGCAGTTGCTCATTTTATTGCTGACAGATGCAAACGGTTCTGGCTGGTGGGATTGTGACATGGAAGGTGTTGACTCGGAGGAAGTAGGCTATGGTGAAATATGGGAAGGGGTAGGCTCCACTACATTTGGAGGAATAGAATGGCATTAATTAATTGGTCTGTGAAAGTATGTTCACTCACGGAAAACTCCTTCTCGGAATGTTTTTAATTATGTTTAGATTAGCATATGTTAATCAGATTATTCTGTAATTCATGCAAATCAGGATGACTGGAGAATTAGCTCACCCTGTTATATCGTCATCCTGATGACATCCCAGTGATCCCTCCACTTCTCAAAATGGTTTTTAGAAACATTGTCTTGTTCTAGAATATAAATCGGATGCCGTATTCTGGAATATAGATTGGAACCTGTCTTATTTCCACGTGCATCACATCAAATATGGCAAGCATTTCATTTTTGCTCAATACCGAAGACCAAAGTCCCAGGTACACATGCGAAGACCAAAGAAGTGATCTTCACTATTTCTGTCTGTGGACTCTTTGGAGTTTCTTTTCTGTTGAGATAATATGCCTTCTTTTGTACAGAGACGTGGTGGTTCATTTTACTGCTGACATATGTAAATGGTTCTGGCTGGTGGGAGTGGAAGGTGTCGACTCAATGGAAGTAGGCTTTGGTGAAATATGGGAAGGGTAGGCTCCACAACATTTAGAGGAATATGGTGGGCATTAATTCGGTGGTTTGTAAAAGTATGTTCGCTTACGGGAAAATGCCCTCTCGGAATGTTTTTAGGAATATAGCTCACCCTCTTATCGTCATCATCATAAGATCCTAGTGATCCCTCACTTCTCAGAATACTTTTGTGGAAACACTATGTCTTGTTCTAGAATATAGCTTGGATGCCATATTCTGGAGCGGCTCCATGCCCACACATCAGTAGTACGAGCATTTCATTTTTACTCGATGCCAAAGGCCCAAGTCTCAAGGAAAGTACACATGCGACAACCAAAGAAAGGTCTCCAATATTCGCGTGTATGCACAGAGCCAGCTGGTCCCAACTCAAGTTTTTCCATTGTCGATGACTAGCGGTTCTGCTTTAAAAGAAAAGGGAAGAATAGGAAAGGGGAGGGGAGCTGGTAATTGTTCCCGTTCCCTTTCCCCGAAAGGGGAGGGGAGCTGGTAATTGTTCCCTTTCCCTATATGAAGGGAAAAAATGAAAAAAATCACAGTTAAAGTTGGGGTGAGAGAGGCTCGAACTCTCGACCTCAGGATTGCTCAGAAGCTATGAGACCTACGCGCTAGCCAACTGCGCCACCACCCCTGTTGGTCCAAATTTTAAATAATATAATATAGAATCCAGAACCACTTGTAGCCAACTGCGCCACCACCCCTGTTGGTCTGGGATTCTCCTGAATTTTAAATAATATAATATTTTCTAAATAGAATCCATAACCACTTTTTGGATCTTCAAAACGACTTATAAACTTCTTTTTGTCTGACTCGGGAACTCGGCACGTTCAGCTTAAACCATGTTCCAATTTTAAATGTTAAAATTAATCGGGGGCCTTTCATGCTACTTCAAAAGCTTGTAAAATCCAGCCCTAAATACAAATCTCTAGAGAGAGTTTACGTCGAAACATGCTATCAAATCATCCTCACGTTACAGCTTACAGTATCGCATTGCGTCTCCACGTTAACACTTAACAGTGCTTAAAATACAAGTAGACAAAGGCTCAAAATCAAAGAGTAAATTCAGGTTGGAAAAAAAAGGAGTCCCGATTCCTACTGGTTGTGCGTTTTGACCAGGACCCAGGATGGCGTCTGGCCCTGTAGTTAGGTTACATGGCTTTGACAAAGAAATGGTCTCCGCCGGTGGGTTTAATAATTCATTGAAAATTTGTGAGAGGGACATTTGCTTGCTTGTTCTCCTACAGTTTATGAACAGAGTTTGATTAGTCGATCCTAGGCTTCAAATTAAATTCTAGAAGGCAGTGTAGAATCAAATTTGAATTCAAAGTGGCCAATTCTCCTCCTCCGTCGTCGTCGTCGTCGTCTTCCCATTTTAATATCCACTTTAGCGATACCAAATTACCACTTTATTATTTTCCGTGGAAGAGAATGGTGGGGATTGAAAGGTCTTCCGAATGTGATCTTTTTTTCATGGAAGTATACAGGGAAAGGCACATGCCTCTCTCCACACTAGCCAGCTTCCTTGGTAACTTCTCAGGAAAAAACAAAAAAAAAAGATGCCATGGATTCATATCTGGCCTTTGATTCTCGTATGTGGGGGTGAGATAAAGAAGAATTTGCATTTTTTTATACGGACAATACTATTCTGGCATATTTTAATTCATAAAATAATCTTTCCCCTCCTTTTCAATATATATACTTATCCTTTACATGGATATTTCACAAATCCTCCCACGTATAAGTTCGGTTAATTCAAACACAAGTTTCCCTTTAATGAAAATATTTAACAATTCAATTGGGATGTCTAGAGTTCATAGCCCAACTCTTTAACCTAACTATTAAAAAGCAGATAAAGTCATAAGAGTTCGACCTTTGATGCTTGTTAGTCAAGGAACTGTTCACGTTTGGGAAGATACATGGCCTTCTTCCTGTTCGTGTTGGATTTGGGCGCACAGTTCGAGGATATTATCCAAAGCTTGTAATATTGCTCGTTTTCTCGGATATGGAGAAGCCAACCAGGTCACCGTAGTGTAACCACATTTGCTTTAAAAGGTGAGTTGTTCAATGAGTCACGTTATAGATTTGCTTGTTAGAATTTACTAGTTGACATAAAGTTTAATTGCTATAAATTTTAAGGGTATTAAAGGTTTATCTTATTATTAATTTTAAAGTCTCGATAAATTCATTAAAATTTGTCTGGCCTGAATAATTATAATTAAAATGAAAAAAAAAACCCAAATAATTTTACAAGTTAATCAAGAAGTGATTAACTTGGTGACCGGAACTGTTCAATTAAAGAAAAAGACCAGCAAGCAAGAGAAAGAAAGAATTACACACAATGGGAAATGACAACCTATATAAATGCTAATAATGTATATTTACTTCTCTCTTCCTAGTATGGTATGCTAATTATGTTATTGTTAGTAACATATATAATATATGCTCAACAATGGAAATCCCTTTTCCCATAATGATACGTATTAGAAATTCTACTATTTTTTTTTTTCACTTGAATAAGAATGTTGGAAATGTCGGAAATATTTTTAGTGATCAAGAGATTGATCTTGAAATTTTTTACCTGTCTCTTTATCTAGCTCATATTTAATATCAAATTATTTGAAAACTATCATAACGTGATATAGTCAATTTACCGGGTCAGTAGCAAAAACATGGCTTAGATTTATATATAAATTTAAATATTACATGGTAACTTAAAATTATTTAGACATTTAATCACAATCAATTCGAGTTTTGTGAACTAACTTGTTGAAATCTAACTAGATCATAAATTCTATTAAGTTAAATTTTTTTAAAATATTTTTTATTTAATAATATAATAAAAAAATAAGTTATAAAATTAAACATTAATTTAATATTAAGATGTTTGTTTAAAATTTTAGCAACTTTATAAAATGTAAATTAAAATAAATTATAAAATTTAATTTTTAATCAATTAAAATTAACTAGTTGAACTCATAATCTTTATTATGAATTCAATTGAATTAATAATATATATAATTTTTTATTTAATTATATATATTTTTATAAAATCAAGAACAAATAAAATATTAAGATATTAGTTTGAGATTGTAATGAATGTATAAAAACCAAATTAAAAGAAATTATGTTGCTTAATTAAAAATTTAAAAAATAATAAATAAAAAAATTAAATAAAAATTCAATTATAAATAGTCAAATTAACAAAAAAAAATAATTAAAAAACATCTGAGCACACAGGCTCGAGACAGCCCGCACACCGAGGCTTACTTAATTTTAAAAGGAAGTGGATGACCTTTACTTTTTTTTAGTAAAAAGACCAGGTCAGCATATGATGGTCACTAGAGGCTTACATGGTTGTTAATTTCAGGGCCCGTAGGATTAGTCGTGGTCCGCGCAAGCTGACCCGGACACCCACGTTAATCTATAAAAAAAAAAGACCAGGTCAGCCATCATCTCTTTTTCGAAATTCCAGAAAGCTTAACAATCTATTTTCACGGGTTGAAAACCCATTTTTCAGTTGAAACACCCTTTAGGAATCCAAAAACACTCGTTTGTGGTATAAAAAAATAGCATTTAATCTCTCTAAAAACCCTCAATTGAGTCCAAATCTATCATCTCATCTCAAGTGATGGAAAGGTTGGAGAACACCTAATTGAAACACCTTCTTTTTTTTATGGAATCTATTAACACTAAATTTCGTTATTTTTTTAGCTCAAATCGGTGTTAATATATGATTTTCTTTTTTTATCTAGGAATTTAAAGATTTTTATTTTTTTTCAAATCAAGGATAAAAAATAAAATTTTGAATTAAAATTAATTTTTTTATTAATTTTTTAAAAATTGAAGGGAATTGATATTTATTATTTGAAAAATATAAGAAATATATTAAATGTTTTACTGGAACTTTAAAAATACCACCCATTTCCTCTGTCTTTTTTACCTCGGTTCCTATCCTTCATATCATGTTATTTTTTTAAAAAATCAACTTAAATTATTCTCAACTTGCTCCTATAAATAAATAAATAAATCATTGTAAATAAAAAAAGTTGAAAAATAATAAAATTAAAAAATATATAATTTAATAAATTATTTAAAATAAAATAAATAAGAATAAAAAAATAAGAATCAAATCTACTAGATAAAAAATTTTAATAAAAAATTTTTAAGATAAAATCAAATAATAATCATAAAAATCAAATAAAAATTGATATAAAAATCAAATTTTAAAGAAAAAAATTGAATAAAATTAAAAAAATATATAGCACTTTTGAAGACCAAATTTATATAATTAACAGATAATATAATATTTTTATATTTTTTATAATTTCTGAAAAATATTTTCTACTAGAAATAAAAGTAAAATATTTTTTTATGAATTTTTATTTAATTGAAAAATATTTTTTTAATGTTCAACTTTAATAAAAAATAAACACAAATTAATTTTTAGAAAATCATTTTTGTAGCCTTAGTTTTTTTATTTAAAAAAAAATTAACGTTTAATATCGCATGTTCGTCCTGTCACCTGTGTGGATGGAAAACGAGTTTCCGTCTCTGACAAGCAAGAATAGCTTTTATCCAAGAATGGATGGCATTACAGCCGTCCGATGATGTTTACAAGTGCTTGCAACAATCAATGCTTTCTCGCATAGTTATATATTCGTGTTAAACCACAGGCCGGACATTTTCTTTTTTAATATAAAAAATATAATCAGGTGACATTGATATTTTTAAATAAGTCATGATAATTTAAGACTCATGTAACAGAAATTAATTGTAT